ATTATAAGACTACGAATCTACGAAAACTTGAAGGGATAGGTAAAAAATGGTATAGTACAATTTGATAGACAATTTAATTGTGCATCTGACTCTCCTAAAATATGCAGGGCATTCCATTTAAATTAAAGAAGTTATTGCCGTTTGAAGCTAATAATTATTTAAAATAAATTTTTAGACACTCTGTATAAGGTAGTATTATTTTTATTATTGCAACACAATAACTGTAGTCATAATAAATTTATAATAAAAGTAAAAGAATAGAGTGGATATGTTAAAAAATATATAAGAGTACGGGCCAAGTAAATTACGTCTAGAGCTTGACCTAGCCAAAATTATTATCAATTCCCAGCCGTCTTTGACACCATTTTTTTTTCGATCTTATGGTACTCCATAGTTAAATAAAAACTCGTACCATCAAGTAATAATTAATTTACCTATTTAAGAAATCTGAAATGAGATCTTTCGACGATATTATTTTATGGTCGTCTATAATATAATTAGACAAAAGCGTTTCGGTAACCCGATCCTGCTGAATTAATCTGTGGTGACCTAATGTCGAGTTTGGCTATAGAGAATACTAATTAATAATCGTTATATACATAGGAGGACCCAGACAATTTATCTAGACCTATCGTCTAGACCAGCAAAAACTTGATAATTGAGTTGTATTTCCTTATCGCCAGTATTCATAAACCTATAAATCACTATTTGAAGATCAAGGTCATTGGAAAATTATCGATAATTTATATCGTTTTTAGTTTTTGAAGAATATAAATCTTATTTTTATATTTTAATGAAGCCTATTTCCTATTTTCATTAAAATATAAAAATAAAAAATTCAAATACGAAGTTTTGGTAAAAATTTAAATTTTGTTACTTTCGAAAGATTCGTTAAGATCGAAAAACGAACTGTGAAAGATTTTTTTAAATTTACCTCCGAGAAGGGGTGAAATAAATAAATAAACTTATTTTTTCAAAATTTCGGAAAAACGGTCAGGATTACAAAAAAAAAATGTTCAAATAAAAGTTGTAGAGCGTGAAATTTTATATAAAAATGATCTCTATACTTTTTTACCCAAATCAAAATTAACCGAGATAGGGTGGCTAGAAGCTAGGGAATGATAATAGAAATTAAAAAAAAAACATAAGTTGCTAAACAATTCATATATTTAAATTTTCTTTTCAATTTTCTCGGAAAATTATAAATTTCAATTTACATTCTTTTAAATTCACCCTCGAGAAGGGGTGATAAATATAAATAAAGTGGGGTTTTCCCAAAAACTAGTGAAAACTGACTTATTGCAGCTCTGTTTCAAAGCAGTGGATATAAAAAAAAAATCATCTGGACAGTATGAAAAAATTTGGTAAAAAAAATACCGGGCTTATTACAGTGAACCCTTATTTTTCTGACTAAAATCAAGTATTTACAGGTGTGTTTTACGATCCAGGTAAGAAATAAATAAATATTAAAAGAAAATCACAAAATCAGATCATTTTTTTTATCAAATAAGACTTTAGACGGCAAAGTAAGTTAATTTGTTTAATTTATCAACATTTACAGTCTTATCACACGCGTCTTCATTCATTAAATTTAAATAAACAATTTAAATACACGCTTGACTATAAAAATAATAGAAAACAATTAGAATGATAATTGCGATTATTCATTGTTTGCGGCATTTGCCAATGCAGAACGCTTTAAACGGTTATCAAAAAAAATTATATTTTTTCTGTAAACATAGTGGCATATAGATATTTTGTTTTATACGGGGTGGCCAAACTTTAGATAGATACTGATCATTTTTTTTTTAATTAAAACAGTTTTAATTGATAACTAACATTAATATCAACAGATTTAATTGATGTGTCTGTGTTAAACACTAAATTGTTCCAGAGTATTACTGATTTAGAAAATTTAAATAGTTTTTTTTCTAAAAAATCTTCTTTTTGTAGTTTTTTCTTTTTTTTCTAGAAATTAGTTAATATTCCCAAAAATTAATTTAAATTTGCAGTTTTATCAGTTTTCAGCAATATACACAGGGTGGTCCAAACTGTATTCCGGAAACTTCGCCAGTAAAAAAAGCTATAAAAAAGTTTGAATGTGTGTATAAATGTATGTCCTAAAATGATTAGTTTCGGAGATACAGGGTGTAGAAGTTTTATTTTTATTTCGATTTTTTCCAAACAACTTCTGAACTTATTACATATTGGCAAACACTAGGCCATTATGAAGATTATTATAAGGGTTATTATGCGTTATTTATTTATTGATGTACATCTTATAACGCCTCTTATGTAATAAGTGGTAATAACAATCAAGAGGGTGCTATTAATGCACAAACTAATAATCACAGAATTTAATAAAACTAACATTGAAAGTGGTATAATGTGCTTATCAATCAAACTTACTTTTCTGGCTGCAGTCAAGGGTAAAAAAGGACCTTTATTGTCAAGTTTTCGTTCAAAATAGTTTGAAAGAAACACGGAAGCTACAACCTCTTTGCTTCGACTGTTTAAATGCTTCGGTATATTTTCAACACACAATTTTAAGAAATGCATTACAAAAACTAGAAAATTTAGTTCTTAAAAGAACTGTTTGTGCTTAAAACTGCAATTTAAAAAAAGACTTTATGAAAATAGGCAAAAAAACGAGAATTACTCACAAAGGTTCAACATCAACAAGGTATTATACAAAATAATGACTGACAGCATACTGACACTAGGATAATTGTCAAATAATAAAGGACAAGATTGCTGAACACGGCGCAATGTGACCAACATAGCGATAATAAATTCGGGTAAAACTAATTTTTGCAGCTTTAATCTAAATAAAATATCTGTTACAATCATTTGCTCTATAAAATAAAATGAAGGGCTGCTCGGTATCCTAAAGTATACAACAAATTTAAACATTTTTGCGAAAATTTCATTTAGTCAGGTTTATAGCTTTGGTTTACAGACTTTAGTGTCAATACTAAGAATAGCTCTCGGCTGTATCTCGGAAAATATTAGCCGTAGGGTTTACGGAAAAAAATATTTATAACTAAAGGGACTATGAGAAATTGCTGGAAATTATTTTTAAGTTTGTAGAACGACCGCTAGGGGGCGCAACTGCAACAAAAAATATGAAAATGGAGGTTTTACACAATTTTGTCTAGATAAGGTGTACTATAAGTAATAGCTTCATAATCTTCAGTAAATTTTGAATATTTTTTGTTAGAGCCATTTTTCCCTATGTACCAAAATAAAGTGGTGGGGGAAGGTTAGATCTGTTTTTAATAAATATTAATAACTCTGGACTGGGTGATCGGAATCCAATAGGCGAGGGCTCGTTTAAAAGAGCGTTTCTTACTGTAGATTGTATCATATAAACAGTAATAATAAGCTTTTGAACGTAGACGCTAGGGGGCGTTGTCTTACAATTTAACAAAGATTGCGCGTGTTTTCAAAAAAATTAAATGCAATAGTATATGTAATTTTAGCTGATAGTAAAGAGTAGTAAAAGCTTAAAAAGTCAGCGAAAACCGCATCTTGATATCTTCTTTCAAACCGAAGATATTAGCAAAATTATAATAACTACCAAAAAATAAGCCCTTAATTACCTTATTTTTACAACACGGTATCAGTAGCCATCTTAATTATGCCCATTCTAACAAAAAAATAAGATAGAAACAGTTAGTTTATTTTAAAATCGACGAAATACCAGAATACCATAATACCAGAGGTATCTAATAATTAAGATATTAATAACACAACTTCAACTATTTCAAATAATAAAGGCATTTTGAAAAAGCAATTAAAAGATAAAAAAAACGCTGATAAGACTATCAAAATGTTGATCTAATAACAATTTGACGTTTATACCATTACGCCAAAAGCAACTTTTTCCAAAGCCTACCATGACTTCACTGAATCATCGTTTCTTGTTCATTGTTATTAATATTTTAATTATTACCTCATACCTATACCTTATTAATACCTCTGGTATTATGATATTCTGGTATTTCGTCGATTTTAAAATAAACTAACTGTTTCTATCTTATTTTTTTGTTAGAATGGGCATAATTAAGAGGGCTACTGATACCGTGTTGTAAAAATAAGGCAATTAAGGGCTTATTTTTGGTATTTATTATAATTTTGCTAATATCTTCGGTTTGAAAGAAGATATCAAGATGCGGTTTTCGCTGATTTTTAAGCTTTTACTACTCTTTACTATCAGCTAAAATTACATATACTATTGCATTTAATTTTTTTGAAAAAAATCGCAATGTTTGTTAAATTGTAAGACAACGCATCTAGCATCTACGTTCAAAATCTTATTATTATTGTTTATATGGTACAATATAGAGTAAGAAACGCTCTTTTAAACGAGCCCTCGCTTGTTGGATTCCGATCATCCAGTCCAGAGTTATTAATATTTAAATAAAAACAGATCTAACCTTCCCCCACCACTTTATTTTAGTAGATAGGGAAAAATGGCTCTAACAAAAAATATTCAAAATTTACTGAAGATTATGAAGCTATTACTTGTAGTACACCTTATATAGGCAAAATTGTGTAAAAACTCCATTTTCTTATTTTTTGTTACAGTTGCGCCCCCTAGCAGTTGTTCTACAAGCTTTAAAATAATTTCCAGCAATTTCCCATAGCCTCTTTAGTTATAAATATTTTTTTCCGCAGCCCCTACGGCTAATACTTTCCGAGATACAGCCGAGGGCTATTCTTAGTGGGACACCCTGTACATCGGGAAATGTTTTGCGACTACAATAGGTAATTTACTTTGTATGCTACTTGCACGTCTTTTACACTTACTACGTAAATAATTAACTACGTAAAAATTTAAAAAATAAATTCGCTAATCACGTTTTGAATCTACGTAACCAAATTATTTACTCACCTTGTACATTTTATCAACTTAAACAAATGATATTGGATAAATTACACTTATCTATACGATAATAGCCCTCAGCTACAGTTCCTGATAAAAAAGCAAAATAAAAATGAAACGGTATCACTTTCGTTAAAACACCCGTCCCAAACCGATCATGTTTATTCTAAAATTCACCGTTTGTATCCTACTATTAAGCAAAATTAACTCTGAACAACTCTGTAGTTTGAGAGAAGTAGAATATGGCACTGTCTGTGTTTGTAATTCTTCCTACTGTGATACCGTTCCATCCATAGAAGATCTTTCTTCCGGACAATACCAGCTGTATACGACTAGTGAAAGCAATTTAGGGTTTCTCTCAACCACCGGAAACCTGTCAACGAATGATAGTGCAGCCTCGGTGTCAGTGACAGTGGCAAATTTACCAAGTACCCTGCAAACGATCATAGGGTTTGGAGGTGCGTTCACTGATTCGGCAGGTATTAACTTAGTGAGTTTGCCAGAGGAGGCTCAGACGAAGCTTGTTGAGAGTTATTTTGGTGAAGATGGGTTGCAGTACAGTTTGGGAAGGGTGCCTATAGGAGGCACTGATTTTTCTACCTATGGGTATACGTACTGTGATGAAGAAGATACGAATTTGACTTTGGCATGTTTTGAGTTGGCTTCTGAAGATTACAATTACAAGGTTAGATTTTTTTTCTAATAACTGTCACTATTGCGCTAAATGAATTTATTAGTTATATATTTAGAACTATATGGATAAAAATATTTTGTAGAAACTAGAGTACATAGATAAGTGAAGCAGGTTTAGATTGGAAAGTGCCCATAAGGACAATGTAAACACTATTTGGCGCTATTCTTGCAACGGTCGCGACCCAAACCCAAGTAGCATTTGGACGTTATCTAACGTCGGGTATACGTCGCATTCAATAAACCCGACGTCGGGTACCAACGTCGGTTCGACCGCCTGACGACCCTTATTTGCACCTAAATGGGGAATACAGATTCGGGTCTGGGGGGGATTTTAGTTACTTAAAATTCGTCGCTAAACACTTACGTTACGTTTAGTTTCATATTCGCTATCAAAAATACATAAAAACCTAACCAAACTACCTAATTACAAATGGATTCATAATCACTCCTCGAATATAACTATAAGTGCCTATCTAATTTCATATTATAATAATTCTGAATCATTAATCCAGACATCAGTTTTGTCAACGGAAGTCACTTTCTTGATATATCTGGTTAAAATACTCCGAAAAACAACGAGCGCCTTCAAAATTAGGTAGATTGATGAAATAAAAATATCTATAAAAAAGTAACTCGCAAAATATTTTTTTTTATTTTCTAGCTGGTTTAATCATAAAACTGTACTGTGGTTCCCCCCAAACTCAACCTTATCAATATTATTCTACTAGAAATCGAAATGTGAATATAGATTTTAAAAACAAAAAACGATTTTAAAATGGCTGACAATCGGATACGTGTTAAGAATGGCGGATTTCTGTGTCCGACTTAATATGAACTACCAATATACCAATTCCGACCGGGTCTCCAACATTAGTCGTCTCACACGACCGAAGTCTCAACCGGACGACCGGCAATCGTATTATGACGTATATAATTCCAACGTACGCCACGTAACCTCACTTTGCGTATCAGTGATTTGTAGATTTGTGCAACTATATTTTAGTTTTTGTTTTCTCCTTAAAAAAAATGGGCAGCCACTTTTTTAAGCCTAACCTCACATGTCGGAGGAGGATGGGGTCTGCTGGTTTTCTAAGCTAAAAAATGAAATTAAGATGCACCAGTGTAATGCAGCATCTCTTTCGGATAAAAAGCATTTACGGGTGGAGGCAAGACATCACTACTACTATTATTATTTTGCAAAAGCCTAGACCTCTTTCTGTAAAAAGTAGATGAATGTCTAAATGCCTTTTAGTGTTTTTTTAGGCATAATAAAAAAATTAAGTTTGCTTACAAAAACTTTTTATTAGGTTATATGTTCATGATGTTCATTAGGTCGCAGATGCTACTTAATGGGTTGTATTTACCGACGTAAATAGAGATACGTAAATTAGGTTATAAATATGAACATAAAATACAACAAAATATAATTGGACGTTACTTTAGGGATTATCAGTGAGACGTATCCTATTCGGACAACGGGTAGACGTCGGGCTAGTTCAAGTATATGTACGTCGTGCAAGCCAACGTGGGAACGACGTTAGGAAATTAATAAAAATGGTACGTTGTTATTTTGTACGTCGACAGATCGTTGGATTTACCGACTCGGATCCAACGACGTCGCTTTTAATAGGAAAGCGACGTCACAGGTCGCATCACCAGCACCCGACCTAAATTTGCACAAAGTCTGACGTCGCTTCAGGTCAGATTTAGTTCGAAGTCAGATAGATGCTACTTGGGAAGCTTTTGAAAATTTCGGAACGGTTCGGCTTTTTCCGGAATTATATCGCCAAATATTATTTGTTCAAATTTATTATTATTTTCTTTTAATTTTATAAATAAACTAGCGTGTACCAGCGACTTCGTTCGCGTCGAATTAATCATTTGTAATGATGATGATAAAGCAAAGTAAGAATTTCCTTTTAGGTATATACTTCTTTAATAAAACTCACCTTTATTTTTCTCCTAGAATTCAAATAGAGAATCAATTAATATATAGGGTGTTCCATTACAAAAAACACAACTTTGATTTGTAACTTTTTTTGGGGACACCCTGTAGAACTCTCTATATTATTAAAAAGTGCTCTGAATGAACCTACATATGCTCACAAAATTTCATTCCAATACAAACTGTCGTTCTCCTTGGAGCCTCCGCGGCGTATGAGAGGCGCCACCCTGTATCTCTATTCACTGTTAAAATTTCACATCAATCGGTGCGGGTGTCAATAATTCGGAGGTAATACCCTACTTTTATCCTCGCTTACTGGCCTAAAATAGTATTTATCTTGTCCTTATGAGCCCATTCCAATCCAAACTTGTGTGATTGATTTATGGTCAAACTTTCTAATTAAGCTCTCCAAAGGATATGTATCGTTTAACATCAATTTAGTCAATGCATCGACTTAATCTAATATGCAGTTTCGGATATCCTCGCCATTCCTAGAGAATCGATGCAACTTTGTGTAAGGGTATTTATTCGCAAATAAGTATATTTGTTGGAATTGGTTTATTTTACAGATCTAGTTTCGTTTATATACTTATTCCCAGTTCCAGTTCCATATAATTAAATTTAAATATTTTTTATTCGCGTTTTTTTTAACAAGTTTTTTTGATGCTGGAGTAAGGAGTTTATATGATGTAATTGCATTTTGCTAGTTTCAAAGGAGATAAAAAAGGAGAAGAGGTTTCATTTTAATATACAGGGTGGTCGGAACTGTATTCCGGAGACATCGGTAGCATATTCGGCAGATAAAAATAAGTAAAAAAGTTTGTATAAATGTATGTCCTAAATTGCTTAGTTTCGGAGATACAGGGTGTAGAAGTTTCATTTTTATTTCGATTTTTTCGAAATAATTTCTGAAGTAACGTCAATATTTGGATGAAAATTGGTATCTAGGAGTTCTTTGATATAAGAAATTTGATTTTGATGTCAATATGTTTCCTATTTGTAGGGGGCCCACCTACTTGTGTTTTAACTGTTATGAAGAGTAATAACTTTTCTCTCGTCCGTACCTGTATAAAACTACTGAGTGAAAAAAATATACATTTCCGTGACTTTTTACATAAAAAAATGTTTCATGGTGACAAAAAATAAACACGATGAGTAGATAGTTATTTGACTGAAATTATAAATTTGGGAACTTTTTTATTTTTATAAATTAATCATAAATTTTTCTTCGAAAAAATGATGATAAAACAGTTTCTTGAACTTTTGATACAAAATCATTTCAAATTTATGATTTCATTCTAATAACTATTTAGTCAACTTGTTTAATTTATGTCAATGATGACAGGTATTGATAATTTCGATTCCAAATATCTCGAGAACCAGTACTCGTAGCGGTTTTTACCAAGAGACCTTTTTTACGTAAAAAACGTCGTAAATGTATATTTTTTACTCAGTAGTTTTATACAGGTACGAAGAAAAAGTTATTACTCTTCAAACCAGTTAGAAAATATATAGGTGGTGCCATTTACAAGTAGGAGTCATATTGATATCGAAATCAAATTTCTCATGTCAAAAAACCTCCAGACACCAATTGTCATCCAAATATTGACGTTACTTGGAAAGTTATTTGGAAAAAATCGAAATAAAAATGAAACTTTTACACCCTATATCTCCAAAACTAAGCATTTTAGGACATACATTTATACCAACTTTTTTACTTATTTTTATCTGCAGAATATGCTTCCGAAGTTTCCGGATCTAACCTGACCACCCTGTATAACAGTTCCGGCTTTTATTTACTTAAATATAAATGAAATATTCTTTCTTAAAAAAAGTTCTCTTTAATTTTTTTTAACAACTGCAATTCAAAAAAATTAACTATTTTAGCAGTATTAATCTACTAATTAATTCTTTTGTCAATTTAATGCTTTGTTTTATTTATTTTTAAGTTTTTTTAGTTTTTTTTTTATGTTTGTGTCATTAACGTAATCAACACGAATATAATTTTAGATTCCTTTCATTAATCAAGCAATATCTTTGAGAGGTAATGGAACTTTTAGGTTGTTTGCCTCAGTTTGGTCATCACCAGCATGGACTAAATCAAACAATGCGCAAGTATTTTTTTTATTATAATAATAATCTATTAAGTAGAATGTATGTGTTCCCCTTTCTTGAGTTATAACGAGTTATAACTCTAAAGAAGGCGTCCATTCTTCTCAAAGAGCCCTGGTTTAAATCAAAAAGAAGACGAAAAAAGACTCAACGTTTATATTAAGTCAAACAGTGACACGTGTTCTGTTTTTTTTTGGCTGATGATGGCTCGTATGAGCGAAACACGTGTGTCACTGTTTAACTTAATATAAACATTGAAACCGAGACTTTTTCGTCTTCTTTTTAATTGAGTTATAACTCGTCATACAGTTCCAGGTCTTTGATAAAAGCAAGTATCTGAGACGGCACCACGGAGGCTAGCTCTCCATCTCCGACATCGCCGTACCAAAGATTATGATACGAACGGTTGTCGTATCGGCGCACTTACTGATTAGGTGTTTTGGTGTTTTTTCCCTACAGAATCTGCATTCGCCGTTGTTTCTCTGCTTCAATCTAATTCTAATTACTTCATTGTACTATTTATACTCATTCAACTGTCTTGTCTATTAACCGTCTTATTTAGGTATTTATTGCATTACAGTTGAAATGCCTAATTTATTTAAGTATTCTCGGTACGTGACAATTAAATACGCTTTAAATAAAACTTCTATTTCTCCAGCCATGCCGTTCATTTTGAATGCACAGCCAAATGCTTTTTAACAAGCGCTTAATTTCTTATTTGGGCGTATTTACGTACGAACAGGGCCTTAATTACTGGTCGAAACAACACTAATAGTCTAAGAGCTAGCAACGTTTTCGAGAAAGTATTTTAAGACGTCTGGCTCTTTGATATATCTTTTACTATGCTCTCTGGAACAGCATGCGGCTGTGATGAATTTTTCACTAATGGTAGCGTGACCTTGACTAAAAAAAATGGTAGCTTAATATTTATTTAAATATTAATGAGCGGGGCACTTGGATATTCAGAGTAACGAATCTTCGTGGCGTTCTTGTAAATTATTACATTAAATTACCAAGATAAAACTTAATCAATAATACGTAATCTAAATTAAACCAGTTATTGCCGTTTAAAGCTAGTAATTATTTAATATAAATTTTTGGACACTCTGTATAAGGTAGTATAATTTTTATTATTGCAACACAATATCTGATCAATAAATAATATTCAGTAAATATTTAATATTAAACCTTTAATACCCTTGGAGAAATGAAGCCTTAACTTTTTTACTGCAATTTCACAAAATTGAAAATAATTCAAAAACGGGAAGGTTTAAGTCTGATAAACCTTAATCAAATTTACCTTTATTTCAATCGTAGAATCTAAAAATAGAATAATATACAGGGTGTTCCATTTACAAAAATACAACTATAATATTTTTTACTTATTTGAGACACTCTGTATCTTGTAAAATTATTTTTAAATTGTAGCTCTAATACTCCTTCGGCGAACCCAAAACTTACAATTTATAAAAATTTATAAAATTGTTTAGCTACAATACTCCGTGTCGTATGTAGTAAACAACCCTGGATATGAACATAGCAAAACAAGCATTAACTGATCTGGATAAAATTGATAATTAAATATTCTTCTTCTTCTTCCTGTGCCTTGTGCTTAGCCGCACGTTGGCGATTGTCTGTACTCTTCATACAATGTGTAGACTGCCGTTTTCGGCTCTTCGAAATATGGTGGCTGCGTCGCTGATGTTACACCAATCCCGTATGTTTCTTAGCCAGGAATGTTGTTTTCTTCCTGGGCCTCGCCGTCCCTCTATTTTTCCTTGTAGAATCAGCTTAGGAATGTAATATTTGTCTCCTCTAAGGATATGGCCGAGGTATGAGACTTTCCTTTCTTTAACTATATTAAGCATTTCTCGTTCATAGCCTGAAGTTCTTAAAACTTCTTCGTTGGTGGCATGTGCGGTCCATGGCACACGTAAGAGTGTAATTAAATTTTAAACAATTAAAACAATCAAAAAAATAAAATTAATGAATAATTAATTTTTTAGCATTGAAGGTACTGGTGTACTAAATTCAGAGTACTACGATTGGTGGGCGAGATACTTCATCAAGTTCTTTGAAGCCTATGAGGAAAACAACATTACTTTCTGGGGAGTTACTCCACAAAATGAACCCATGGATAGCTTTTTGTCCATTACTATACCCAATCTGCTTCATACACCTAGCCAAATGGTAATAACAAAATACTTAAGCATCATTCAGAACCTGCTTTTGAAAGTTAGTTTTTGCATTTTTCTACATAAGTCATGTATATAATTTAGAAAACATGGATTAAAGATCATCTGGGACCCACAATCAGGAATTCAACTTACAGCTATTTAAAAATAATTGCCCTTGATGATAACAGATACCTACTGCCTATTCTAAAATGGGTGAGATTGAAATAAATTCTGTATTATAGTAGTTTCATAAAAATATTCTAATATATTGTTTTAGTTTATACTTTCTGACGAAGACGTTTTGCAGTATGTTGATGGTGTTGGTATACACTGGTATGTAGATTTGACCACACCAGCTAGTGTAATAGAAGATGCATATAATGATAATAAGGAACTGTTCGCACTTGCTACAGAAGCATGCAATGGTAAGATCAAAACATAATTTAGATGAAATATATAAAGAAAAATTGTGTGTGCTCTATGTGTGCATATTTGAAGTGAGACTTCTTTAGAATTTTTTTTTAGAATTTAGAATGAGTGGGAGGGGGGTTAATCACTTCGACCTTACAGATCCATTGTGTCCCCCTTTCTTGAATTATAACTCATCATACAGTCCCAGGGCTTTGACAAAAGCCAGTATCTGGGACGGTTTTATAGAGGGTAGTTCTCCATCTCCAATATCAGTCGTACCAAATTCATGGCACGAATGGTTGTCGTCTCGGCGCACTCAGTGATGAGGTGTACTGGTGTTTCACCATCTTCCCCACAGAGTCTGCATTCGCCGTTTCTTCTTAGTTTCAATCTACTGAGGTGTTCATTGAGGAGACAGTGTCCTGTTAAAACCCCGTGACAATCCGAAGATTGTTCTTACTCAGACCCAGGAAGATCTGTGATTTTTCTTGATCATAAGCCCTCAGAAACTTCTTCGAGTGTCTTAGACCATTGCAAGATTTCCATTCCAGGTTGCGGATGGAATCTTCCAAGTTCTTGAGTTCCGCCTTGAGTTGGTTACCACTTGGAAAGCAGAACGGTTCTGGTCCAGTTAGTGGAGTGTTCGCTCCTTTCCTAGCTAGATTATTTGCTTTTTCATTGCCTTCTATCCCTTGGTGAGCAGGCACCCAGTGTAGGAGGACTTTGTTTTCTTTGCCTAATTTATTCAGCTTCTCTATGCATTCTTTGACCAATTTCGAATTGATTGATACTGAGTTGATCGCCTTTAACGCTGCTTGACTATCAGACAAGATGGCTATTTCTTGTTTCCGATAGTTCCTATCTAAGATAAGTTGTACGCATCTCTCGATAGCGTAGATTTCTGCCTGTAGGATACTAGGGTAAGTGCCCATTGGTTCGGAGTAATTAGCTCTCGGCCCACACATGCTAGTCTCTGGACTTTGCATAGGTTTAGCCTTGCCGTCCGTTGCTCTAGTTTTGTGTACCAGGCAACTGCTCCATAAGTAATCATGGGTCTTACTATCATGGTATACATCCAGCGCAAAATGTTAGGGGAGCAGCCCCATCTATTTCCGGCATATCATGAGAGCCTTTATGGCTTTGCTGGTAGTGTTCTTAATATTGCGGGCCGGTCTGGACTCGACCTAACCTCACAATATGGCCCGCCCTCGGATGACCTTAACATCGCATAGACACCGCAATGATTCATTCGTTCGAGAAGAATCGAGTCCCACTGGAATGGACTAGTACATACGAGAACATTCGAAAACCTTCTCTACGCACCTAACGATCTATGGACAATTCTAGAGTTCTTTACCTGTCGGTATAAAAGCCGGCGGCGGTGGCCTACAGGGGGCAGTTATAAATATACCAGTGCAGTTGACGCGCAAAAATTCAAAATAAATTCTTAGTTATAAATCGTTTGTAAATAGTTCTATAAGTCTTTTATCGTTATTGTTTTTGTTAATTAGTGTTAAATAAATAGTGTTTAAATAAATTGTGACTTTCTATCCACACGGAACCGACGAAAAACGTAACATTAATATGCCTGTTCCACAGGAGTTTACTGTCCAGGGTTATTCCCAGTGAGACTTCTTACTAACAGCTATTAATGAATGATTTGAAGGACACGTTTGAAAAAGTGTAGTTTGAAATGTTGAAAAAGTAATAAATTAAAAATTAATAAATAATATGATTCACTTTCACAACATTTGTATTAAAATTATTGTTTTAGGGTACATTCGAATAACAGATATTATCAAAGCAGTAGAATTGGGCAGTTGGACAAGAGGTGTTAACTATATTAATGACATTTTTGATGTAAGTATAAGTATTTGATAAAAAATCTCATTTTTGACAAAAAATCTACCACTGTATTAAAAACTTCTTTAAAACTTTTATCTAAATATAAAATAACCGAATAATCAAAATCTTCAAAATTTTATTTTTAGACTCGACATACGATTGTTCCCTTTTTTTTCCTTTTTTTAAAAGTTATTAAAACTTTCATTTCCCTTTGCGATAAAAACTTAAAGACTGAAAACTTCACATTTCCTCCAGCAATCGAAATCTCATCTCCGAATCTTGGAATCTTAACTCCAGACTTAATATTACATAAAAAAATATCGAGAATTATTACTTTTTGGTTATTATAATTTTTTGTTATTGTATTTTTATCTTCTATTTTTTTTCATGGAACTTTTGATTCCGATTTCATAAAGTTATCATAAAAATAAAGTTTATTATGTTTATTTATGTTATTGAGAATTGTAAATATTGATTTATTTGTAATTCGCGGTTAGCGCACAATGCATAACAAAGTACCCTTTATTTTTAACAGAGAATCGACTCTTAAAATTCTTTGCATTTGTTTTAAAACACCTTGTATATCGACTGTTAAAATATTTCCACAAATAACCTACTCTATAACTCTATATCTAACCAGCATTTTCAGTAAAAGAAATGTAAATAAATACAATTAAACTGGTCGTAGTTTTCCAGCTTGCGAAAAACAAATTTGGAAAGTAAAATTGCATTCTGAGAATACCGTGCTCCGAATTTTCCGCTCGACAATAAATAAGCAAGTTTGCAAGTCAACAAGCAACATTATTTTCACTTAAACGCAGTTTAATAAGGTGGATAGCAAATTTGTCACATTACTCTGCTTTTAGAAGACACAAATGGTGCACTGCATGATAAATTAGTATTAAGATTCTCCATTTAACATGTCAGTTACGGTGGAGGCACTCTATCTCTTGGTTTGATGATTCAGTTTGATTTTAAATTCTCAGTCGAACCATTCTGAAGCAACCAAAAGAGGTATAGTTAAAACACTACGTCATATAGAGCCATCACTATCTATATGCAGTGACCAAGAATCTCTGAATTCTGAACTAAGTAATATTGAAATTGATTTGCTTCGGAATGGTTATTCTGCAAAATTCCTAGACAATATTATATCCGATTGCAGGTCCGACTCATTGGTATGCCAGCCTGAGGAGGATGCTCTCTCTCTCTCTCTCTCTTGACGATTCCATATGTGAAAGAAACATCGGAGAAGATCAGGCCAACAGCTAATCAATATAAAATTAAAACTAAGACTTTTTAAGTCTAGAACTACTCTAAGAAGTATCTTAACAAAAACAAAATCTGAATCATCAATCCAAGAGAAAGAGTGCATCTACCAGGTACCTGGCGAGTGCGGTGAGTAAGAGACTTAGGGAAAAAAGGGCTCTTAGTGGTCGTAGTTTGTTGCTAAGGGTAGCGACTGAATCAAAATATTTTATTAAGTTTGGTCATGGAATTGCGTGCTATACACAGTCTTCTTTTGACTTCGGCATCCTTTCTTTGAGATTGCTTACTATGTAAACAAAACTTTCAATTGATATACAGGGTGTTTCAGAAAACATGTGCCATTTCTCGTGGGGAGATTCCTCACGTAAAATTAAGATTTATTTTTCATATGAACATAGGTCCAATTCTGTTTTGTTTCGTAGCTACAGGGTGTAAAAGTCTTAATATTTATTCCATTTATTATATTTTTCTTCCAAGTTCTTTGAGCGTTTGGAATGAAATTTTGAGGGTAAAAGTTCCTATAAATGCGACATATTTTAGGGCTAAAAAAGTGTTGCTATGTTCACCAGGGACGTGCATATGGGTTATCACTGGAATATTTGTCTAAAAAAAGCATGTACGCCACTGACTTTTTTTTCTTTTGTTTTGTGAATCTGTTTAATGCCGATTAAAAGTTGTCTCTTGATATTTTGTCGATTTCGGCCTCCTTGATGAGATAAACGCAATTTTATTAATTTGCCTGGATCAAGTCTAATAGCAACCTTTAAAAAAATATTATCATTAACTTGAGAAAGTTTTAAATAAGTACTCATTCATTCCTCATCAAAAAACATGAAAAAAAGTTCCTATAAACATGCGTATAGAAATGCATAGTTTTAGAGTTACAGGATGTTAAAACTTTTTAAAATTAGTTTTTTTTTGTAATTATCTTAAATACCATAATTTTATTATTTGAAATTGCTGTATGTTGGACTAATAGTAATAATAACTAATAGTAATATTATTTAGTCATAAATTAGGTAAAATAATTAATCTAAAGTAAACGCCACGAATGTTTGGGAGTGATTCCAATAATAATTGGAAATTGAAATAAATGATGAAAAAATAAATTGGCCTGTGTTATACAACTTGTAGTCAATCTACACAAATATTATCAAAAACTTTTTTTCTTTTAAAATGTGTTCAGATTTTGTAAAAAGTATAAGTCAAAATCGCAAAACTTAAATTTGATATGAGTTTCTTAGTTTTTAACTAATATAGTGGCGAATTACAAAAATTCCTTTTCAATGAAAATTAATGAGTTAAATAAAATAATTTAATAAATTACTAGCTTTTTATCGCGACTACGTTCGCGTTACACCTCGAATCGTTCATGCATTGATTTAAATGATATTTTACTTCTTTATAGAGAGCTAGTGAGCATACATGTTTTTTATTTTTCATCTTTTTTTTATTTATTAAGAGCACTAATACTCTCTTTATAGGTTATTTTTTATTCTTTGAAGGATAATTGACGAAGATATATTTCGTTATGATGTCACTAAATAAACCCTTGTATAAAATTTTATACTGTCTGGTTTATAATGTTATAGTATTGCATTTTCATACAGCAAACTTTCATTCCCTATTCTACTCCCTAAGGGTATAAATTTCATAAATTCGCTTTACCTTTGTGCCAATTTTTATGATGATGAAAAAATAAATTGAAATAATATAGTAATTTTTACCCTCAAAATTTCATTTAAACCAATAAAAATACGTGGAAGAAAAATCGGTCCTATGTTGATATGAAAAATAAATCTTATTTTTACGTGAGGAATCTCCCCACGAGAGATGGCACATGTTTTTTGAAACACCCTATATACTAACTTTGACTACATTTTATAGAATCTGGAGTACAACGTTACAGGCTGGACGGATTGGAACTTGGCTTTAAACACATCAGGAGGTCCAACTTTCATTGATAACAACGTAGACTCCCCAATCATCGTCAATGCCACAGCCGGAGAATTCTACAAGCAACCCATGTTCTACGCTTTGGGTCATTTTTCCAAGTTCTTGGTACCCGATTCGGTTAGAGTAACATCTGAAGTTTCTGGAAGCAATATTAGAGCCTTGGCATTTTTAAGGCCAGATGAGAAAGTTGCCGTCATTATATATAATGAGTAAGTAAATTTTTTAATGATTTTTTATAATAAATAAGTAAGTAAAATATACAGGAAATATAAATATTTAAAGAAATACATTACAGATAATCGATATTTTAATTGTTTTCATTTTTTTTTAATTTAAAATACCCCTGAATCATATATTTCATGACATGACATGTCATGAAATGGCATTATATGGTTTGACATGAGAAGAGCGTCATGACAAACAATATACAGGTGGTCCGAACAGTATTCCGGAAACTTCGGCAGCATATTTTGCAGATAAAAATAAGTAAAAAAGTTCGTATAAATGTATGTTCTAAAATGCTTAGTTTCGGAAATACAGGGTGTAGAAATTTATCTTTTATTTCGATTTTTTTTTTCAAATAATTTATGAAGCAACGTCAATATTTGGATGAAAATTGGTATCTACGAGTTTTTTGACATGAGATATTTGATTTTGATGTCAATATAACTCCTACTTGTAGAGAGCGCCACCTATACACTTTTTAACTGGTTTGAAGATTAATACATTTTCGTCCGTATCTGTATAAAACTACTGAGTGAAAAATATACATTTTCGTGACTTTTTACATAAAAATTATTTCTTGGTAAAAATCGGTACGAGCAACCGTTCTCAAGATATTTAGAATCGGAATAGTCAATACATGTCATTATTGAGAAAAAATAAACACCTTGAGTAGATAGCTATTTGACTGAAATAATAAATTTGAGAAATTTCTTTTTTTTTTAATTAATCATAATTTTTTTCACAAAAAATGATGATAAAACAGTTTCTGTTGAACTTTTCGCACATAAACATTTCAAATTTATGATTTCAGTATATTAACTTGTAACGTTTTTAGTTCGTTACATGTATTTTTTATATATGATTTATATGATGTCTGGCGTATCGTCACCCGATTCCGTATCGTTTAGGCTGGATAATTTATTTGACGCGCTTGGCGTGATTTTTACGTTCTCTAGTCCACAACCCTGTTATCGTTTGACACAACCCTATTATCGCTTTGTGGAGGCGCTGTCAACATCGCTTCTGTCAACTCTCTCCGTGCTTAACTTCACTTCGCTTTGACCGTCCGACCAAAGCGTCCGACTGTCACCGTCAAAAAAATCCTTGCTTCGAGAAACTGCAATTATAAAAATCTTGCTGTATAATTTGAATCAGCTGCTATTTCGAAGTTACAGGTAAAAATGAGATATTATCTTTGTTGATTCGTTATTATTACTGCGTATTTTTAGGGTAGAGTTTTGGATGTCCCAACTTAACTTGTATTTGTATTTTGCTGGCACGTTGTCGTCCCTTTTCTTTTGTCCTCCAGAATGTTACATGGAAGAAAGGACAGTTTCTTTGTTTATTATTGAGCCCTCGGAAGTAATTCGAGGTAGGTTTATTTTGTTTATTAGACCTTGTTTGGTTTTAAACAAGAGTTTCATATTTTTAGGGTCCAAGGTACGGACTATTTCCAAGGTACGGACTATTTACGGGGTACGGGCATTATCCAAGGTCCTAGTGGTATCCAAGGTACGGGTAGTGTTCCCCTGTACCGTTGTCTTATGGGCGGGATGTGTCCAAGGTTATGGTTCAAGTTACGGACATTATCCAAGGTCCTAATAGTGTTCCAAGGTACGGGTAGTGTCCCCATATTGCTACATCATGGATACAGCGTATGCCCCATGCTGCTTCGTTCCCATTTCTCAGTCTAGTCAGTAGTTACGGCTGTATTGATTCATGGTGTCCTCATTCTGGCCCCTTTTGATGTATTGGCCAACAGGATAGCCGAGAGACAGTGCAGATATATGAGCCCAGCTCACGCTGCTACTCTTCGAAACAGGATTGCCTCAAGAACAGCTAAGTGTAGATTTAGGTTCTGATTTTCAGTTGATTTTCAGTCTTAACTTAACGTACATTTTAAATAATATCCTACAGACTATATTTAGTGGTTAGATTATTAAGAACATTTATGTCGATTTAATAGTTACAATGTGATTTAGATTTTAGGTTTCACTATATTACGCCTTGTAATAGTATTACTTTTTTATAGATATTATTATTGCACTAACATCATATAAAATATATCAAATTAATTAAAGTAATGCTACATTTCATATATTCTCTTAAACTTTACATGTCTTGTATTTTATCATAGTTGTTTTCATAGATATTTAGTACAATTCTTAACACCACTTTCGTTGACATATAACCACTATAATAATTATTAAAATTGTACAATGCTATTTACCATCACAGTCCATCATGAATAAATAGAGTCATGAGTTTTAAGTAATATACAACTGTGTTTTCTTTCTCTGTACATGCCTGGCGCCCAATATCTGTATTTTTTTGTTTATTGTTATTGATTAGTTTTCTCTCTAGTGAAATACCTTATCCACGACTGCTCTCCGATGAAAAGCTGCCGTTCGCAGTGGTAATGTTTTATAAAAAACGCTACAAACTATTTAGTCAACATATTTAATTTATGTCAATGATGACAGGTATTGATAATTTCCAAATATCGATATTCGATTCCAAATATCTCGAGAATCATTACTCGTAGCGATTTTTACCAAGAGATCTTTTTTACGTAAAAAACGCCGTAAATGTATATTTTTTACTCAATAGTATTATACAGGTACGGACGAAAATTTATCACTATTCAAACCAGTTAAAAAGTGTGTAGGTGGCGCCCTCTACAAATAGGAGTTATATTGACATCAAAATCAAATTTCTCATGTCAAAAAACTCGTAAATACCAATTTTCATCCAAATATTGACGTTACTTCATAAATTATTTGAAAAAAAAATCGAAATAAAAATAAATTTCTACACCCTGTATCTGCGAAACCAAGCATTTTAGGACATAGTACATTTATACGAACTTTTTACTTATTACTATCTTACAGTTGAGGGTTAGAACCTTTGGTGTTACACAGCAAAATAAAACACTAAATCACCACAATACACCAAAACACTTTTACTTTTACACTGGACGCGCGTTTCGTTAACCATGTTAGCATCATCAGCAGATGATTATAAACGAAATTATTTTTCAATATTTCTACTAACAAACCTACTGACTGTTAGGTTTAATACACAAATAATATTTATTGCCATATTGTACGTAAAAATATATTTTATACCCCTCTGGAATTTGATATTTTATGAAGATAAATTGTGCAATATATTTGTAAGCGTATTCCAATATTTTATTTACTCTAAATTAAAAACATTTATTGATTTTATCTTTTTGTACACCTATCCAAATTTTATTAAAATGCCTTTATTCCAATATATTTTTATATTGGACTCTAATAGATAGTTTAGATAGATTATCTAAATGTCAAAAAGTCAAAAGTAATCAAGACTTGTTAGTTAATTTTTTAATATGTGTCTTTTTCTTTTTCAGATCAAGTGATGATGTAAGTGTCAATATCAGCATTGAAGGCAACTCTGGAACGATTGAAGTACCTGGAAATTCTATTAATACCTTTTTATATACTCAATAAATTTTAATAAATAATAAATTAATTAGATTATTATTATTAAGATTGTTTATATTTCCTCATACAAAAAAGATTAACTTTAAAAAAAATGAGAGCTACCGGATTTTTTCTGTATTTGCATTCCTTTTAGTGTCGTAACCATAATGTAACATGCTGTTTTTAAGCTTTTCAGCGATATAAGCTATATATTTTTTTTCGAAAAATTACTGAGTTATAGCCAATTCTTTTCTGTCTTGACTAATCTCACTTAGTTGGTATGGTATTCGTACTCTGTTATGATTTATAACTTATAAAAAGACAGAATATATTATTAAACGGTTCTTTACAATTTACATTACACAAACTAAAATTTAAAATATAATATCACTAAGTACAGAGTGGTCGGAATTGATTTGTTTTAACAGAGAAAACCTATTTCCTGACTAGATAGAGCAAAATCAACACAGATGTCATGGGCTCGATTTCTGAAACACGTTTAATGGCATAAACCGCCTATTGATATTTTCACTGCCAACTGAGATACGGGGTCTTTTTGATTTTTTTACCATTTTGAAAATTGACCATACCTTTTTTATTTTGCAAAATAATAAAATTCTATTCTAAAATAACAAAATTTTACTATTAAGTTTCATATCTATCTTAATAGTAGATTATTTTCTTTTATCTATGAAAATAGACACACTTCATCTGACATTGAAAACATTAAATTGATAACCATGTCACTGCTTCCGTCACAGTCAATGTCAAAAATACAACTTTAAATCATGGCGTGTAAACCGAAAATCAAACCTTTCTCTATACATCCGCTGGGCATTATGATGATATGCCTCGGCTGTGCCATAGTGGTGTTCGTGCACAATATGGCGTTGTTGAAGGCCGACGGCGGCGGTGATGAAGATAATAAAGAGGGTGACGATAAGCAAGAGGGTGACGATAAGAAAGGTGGTGGCGCGAAGAAAGGTGGTAGTGCTTGGTGGAACGATGATAAGAAAAAAGGTACAGATTTTATTTTGGATCTGTATATAATTTTTTAATAAAAATGAAAAAAAAAATCAAAGTCCCGGTCTCATACTACATTTATACAGGGTGGCCCATCGAAAACGTTCCGCAAGGCATAACGGCCAGGGTAATTTTTTTCAGAAAATTCAAAAACACGTCGTCAATTTTGTTTGTGAGGGGGACAACTTTTGCCCCAAAAATAATTGCAAAATCTTCAACCCTCTAAGCGGAGGTGTCATCTCCCAATTTTTTTTCAAATGGGAAGAGGGATCAAAGTTGCACCGCAATGAAAATGGCTTTCTATTCTCTATATTTTCCCAGAGTCATTGAGAAAATATGAAGGATTGAAATTTGAAAAGTTTATTTAAACATTTATCAGAGTAAATGATAAGGATAAATTCCTTCGACCAATTTGCTGTTTTTTCTTATTATTTCTAGATGTTTACGCATTTTTTCACTTACCATAAGGTTGAACGATCAGGTGAGGTAGTTGCTAGACAGCTGTTCCTTGAGTTGTGTGTTGAAGTTCTTCTCAATATCGTTAAACTTTTTAACAGTTATGGTGTACTCACTTGCGGAAATAATCGAACTTTATTTTAAAAATAATGAATGTGGCAATCGGTTTGCGCAGATATTCAATGAACGCCATCCTGACAAACACCTTTATGGCAAAATTGTTCGCGAGTTAGTAGCAAAATTTCGCGAAACTGGTTCAGTTATGAATAAAAAGAGGTAGAGGAAAAATGCTGTAATAAATGAAGCTATGGAGGTATTCGTATTGGGTCAAGTTGTCATAGATAGTACGCTGAGTACAAGAAAATTAGCCAATGAGACCGTGAATCGTACAAGCGTCCAAAGGATATTAAAAAAACACAAGTTCCACTCGTACAAAATTCAGTTGGTACAAGAACTCAACGAAAACGTTTTAAAATAAAGTAAAATAAAGTTTATTTTTTAAATAAAGTTCGATTATTTCCACTTTTTCTGCAAGTTGAAAAGATCTTCAACGCAAAAGTCACATTAACTACATGAAAACTACGTTAATAAACTATGTACTGATATTATGAATAATTTTCCTTAGTATGAGGTGTAATGGAGATAATATGATGTAAATATTATATTTAAAGCCATATTTCTTCTGTTTTCTTAAATACATTATGTGTTTTTAAAGCTTCAACTTATTATAACCTCACCTCAAACCTTTGACATTTGAAAGTTACATAAACTACACCCTCCACATAAACTACATTAACTACATGTAATGTAGTTTATGTAGTTTTTAAAAGTAACATGTAGTTTTCCGAACCCTGGTCACAGAACAGCTATCTAGCAACTACCGCACCTGATCGTTCAACCTTGTGACTAAACCGATTTTTACAAACAAAGCGGGAAAGTATAGAGAATAGAAAGCCCTTTTCATTGCGGTACCACTTGACACCCCTTCCCATTTAAGAAAAATTGGGGGATGACACCCCCACTTAGAGGGTTGAAAATTTTGCAATCATTTTTGGGGCAAAAGTTGTCCCCCTCACAAGCAGAATTGACGCGTTTTTGGATTTTTCGAAAAAAAAGTACCCTGGCCGTTATGCCTTGCGGAAAGTTTTCGATGGGCCACCCTGTAGTTTTGATATAAAGGGTATAGCCGGATTAATACAGGAAATCTGCCCCCGGGGGCTTTTTTGACTCGCACTCAGGGGGTCGATTTGGTGTCGAATCAAAATAATTCACCTAAATTTTTAGCTCTTTAACTCAAATGGTTTTCGAGATTTTCAAAAAAAACTGTTTTTTTTTCAATTTTATTTTTATTTTCTGGAGATAGAAAATAATATGATCATGATTCTTAAACAAAAAGCCGATTTTTAGCGAAGGAAAGAAAATTAAAATCTTCATTTTTTTTAACATTTGTGCAATATGTCACTCACTAAAAATCGTCAGAAAATGTCTTTTATACTTCTTTACACTCAGGAATTTTTTTAGAATTTTTTGAAGTGGCGGAACAATATGAAAAAAATTAAAAACTCATTTTTTTCTAAAATCTTCTCGGACTTATTTTTTTTATAATAATCTTTATGTATAGTTCTGACAAGGATGTATTTTTAATGAAAAAATATTTTCTACGCACTTTTTTAAACTAAAAAAAATATAAGTTATTTAAAACAGAAGATTTTATTTCATTTTTTTTTATTTTATTGTTATTTTATGATTTCATATTTTTTGTTTATTCTTCATTTTAGAAGAAGAAGCAGCTGAAGAAGGAGGAAATGAAGAAGCACCGGCTGAAGAAACCGAAGGTGGTGAAGAAGAAGGATAGCACATACAGAATATTAATAATATTTTGGTTTCATCAATAAATTTGGGCAAACAGATAATCAAATAAAACATTAGCATTAGACATATACATGTATGATTTTTTTTGAATGTTAGAGAAAAAATACCAAGATTTTAGATTGCATTGGAGAGGGGAATGAAACCACCCCTGTATGTACTTTTTTAACAAACTGTGGATACTAAAAAAAATAACTACTCCATCTGCATCGATACTCGCCCAAAAAATCTTTCAAATCGGAAGAAAGTGAAAAAAGATCGATTTTGGACGAGAATTTTTTTGAAATTTTCCAAACACACTTTAAATCGTCTCCTTAACGAACACCTCAGTAGGCTGAAGCTGAGAAACACCGGCGAAGGCAGATTCTGTAGGAAAAATGGGGAAACACCAGAACACCTTATCATTGAGTGCGCCGAGACGATGACCATTCGTGCCATGAACTTTGGTACGGCTGATGTCGATGATGGAGAGCTGGCCTCTGTAGAGCTGTCTCAGATACTGGCTTTTGTTAAAGCCCTGAGGCTGTATGATGAATTATAACTCATTATAACGCAAGAAAGGGGAACACACAATCAGGGGTGGATGGGCCATATGGGAAAACTGGAAAATTCCCGGTGGGCCGGTGGGAAAATGGGTCTGTAAGCTGGTCCCGATCAGAGCTCAAAAAACATTGATTTAGCAAAAATTAAATGGTTAATATTCTAACTAAAGTTACCTAAGATTCTTAGTGACAGCCTAACTAACTAATCAGTTAGATCAATATAATCGTCAGTTGCTTTTAAACATAAACACCAATTTCTAAAATAACTATTGTTAGATGTCTTTCTCTGAGACACTTATAATTTTAATAAACATCTGTTTGTTGTTCCGTTTGAAATGTTTTATTATACAAGGTGAGTCTATAAGTGCACTTTATTTGTGCTGCTTTGTGCAAATATTTTCAGGGCTGGTAGATATGAATAAAAAAGCTATATTATCTTTACCGTGTTTCAAATAAGTCCAAAATAACCGAGTTATTAAAGTTTGAAATTTAAAAAAAATGATTTATTTAAAAAAAAATTGTTACCGAAATTTTTCTGTATTTGCATCTCATTTTGTGCCGTAATATCAAAGATTAAGAAACTATACCGTGGGAACATTTGCGGTGAACAGGTTGAGTTCTAAAAAATTTTCTAAAATATACACGAAAATTTAAAAGAAAAAGCACGATTTTCAACATCTTTTTGTGCAAAAACTTCATAGACGTGTTCCTGGGGTCGAAATATACCACCCCTGAAATTATTTGCACTTATTAAGACTCATCCTGTATAGTTTTAGCACTATTCTTTTATTAATAACTAAATAACGAATAAAGACTCCGGCAGGCGTACAGTAGAAAAAAGAGTGAACATCATCTAAATAGTCTCGATCTAAATGTATACTATAAAAAATATGGTAGCGCAGCTTTACAACTGGGGGCTTCGGTGCAATACTTTTCGAGCTCCTCTGAAAAGTAGGTCTCCAAAATCCAAATATTTTTATTACGGGCCGTAACATAGCATCTACCTCAGGGTATTGCCTAGGTTTTTTTCGTTTGAGTCATGGCATTATCATACAAGATGCCAAATGTAGAAACAAGTAAAAGTTACGTGATAAGAATTATACCAAAGATTAAAACACGTATACACGACGAGGCTGCTGCTGTACCAAAAAAGAGAGAATTTCTTTCTACAATGTGTAAGAAAGTATATCCCTGAAAAGCTAAAAATAATGTATTTCACAGAGGATTGGGCCAGCTAAACTGAATGAATCAAGAAGTCCTAAAGTTTCTCAAAATCATAGCATATTCAAGATCAAATTACCGTTATCGATAAAGGAAATAAAACAGTAGAACTCTGTGAAACTAAGCTATTTTTTTGTAGTAAAAATTCAGATGTCCGACCTGATATTGATTTTTATAAAAATTTGATAAAGACAATTTCAATATTTTTAAAAAATCAGAGGCAAAAGAGATTTTTTCACCGTTACTTATATAGGGTGTTCGAGAAATAAGTGCAAGCTTTTACTTTGAAAATTTAAACAAAAAATGATTTTTTGCTTAAGTTTTGAGAACCTCTGGATGTTTTCTGGATTTTTTCCTATGTAAATTTAATCTACTACCTATGTTGCCATATTATCAAGAAATTATGTTTTTTAACTTGAAAATAAAAAAAAATCGATAATTTTTTTCAAAAAATTCCAAATTTTCGCAAAAAAAAACACAGGCGTGTTTCTGAGGCCGAAATATACTACCAATTAAAATACTTGCACTTATTTCTGGGACACCCTGTATATTAATAAATAAAATATGGTCATTTTGTTTTTGTGGATTCGGGCCGGTTGCCTGTTATTCCCGGGCCGGTTTCCACTTCCCTGCACACAATAGATCTGTAACTACAATCCACCCCTGCACACAATAGATCGGTAAGGTCGCGGTGATTAACTCCCCTCCTAAACATTCTACATTCTATATCTCATAACTGTCTACTCTCAATAGTACATTGTATCCCTCAAAGTTTCCAAAGAAAAATCTTAGCGTCTGTAATAAAAAACAAAACAAACAAACTTTTAAAAAGATAATAAAACTCCGGTGTAAAATATCTAATTTTCTCCCAGTGTCGTTTATAAAGTATTAATAAAAAAGTAGCCTGTTCATGCATACAAACTATCGAAACTGTCCACACTTTATGATAATGCAGAGCTGGTTTACTGCCGAGAATATCTCTGCCACAGGAATTTAAATAAGACGCCGACAGATGTTCATAATTCAGGAGAACAAACATTTCTGTATATTTACCGTCAACAGCAAACAAAATAAACAAATATTTTAGAGAATAATACGAGTATAGTCGTTTTTCCGGGGGTTATGTTGCATTAAAAAAACGCGTATATTGAAACGACCTTTTCACTTCATAAACTCTACAGGGTGAGCTTATACAGGGTGTCCCGGAAATAAGTGCAAGTATTTTAAAAGGTGGTGAAAAAAACATTTTTATTTTTTTCTCTTTACCATTTGTTAACCATATAGTTATTTCACTTAAGTATGAATAAATATCATTAACTAAGTAAGAAGCTCAATTTTGGCATACAGGTTGATTCTAGGGGGTAGAGGTTCGATAAGAAGGGATTTTTCGAAATTCCAGTTCCAAGAGGGTGAAACCACCCCTCAAATATTACAATATTTTTTATTTAAAAAACGGTCAAGTTTCCGAAAAAACGCTATTTTAAGATTTTTTAAAAATATATACAGGGTATTTCGAAAAATCTGGTCATTGATTAATCACGATCCTGCTTAAAGCGCATGACGTAAAAAGCTGATTTTTGGAAAACAGATTGACTTTAGGGTGTAGAGGTTTGATAAGAAGGGATTTTTCGAAACTCGTATTCTAAGGGGGTGAAACTATCCCTCAAATATTAAAATATTTTTTATTTAAAAACCGGTGAGTTTTTCGGAAAAACTCTTAAACACGTATATTTTATTTTGTTGTTTTACATATTTTAAGATTTTTTATAAATTTATACAGGGTGTTTCATAAAATATGACCATTGAGTAATCACGATTCTGCTTAAACTGCTTGACGTTTAAAGCTGATTTTTGGCAAACGGATTGACTGTGGGGTGTAAAGGTTCCATAAGGAGGGGTTTCTCGAATCTCAAATTCCAAGAGGGTGAAAACACCACTCAAATATTACAATATTTGTTACTTAAAAAACGGTTAGTTTTTCAGGAAAACGCTTGCACAAGCATAATTTATTTGGTTTTTTTTACATATTTTGAAATTTTTTAAAAATTCATACAGGATGTTCCAAAAAGTTGGGTAATTTCTTAACCACGATTCTGCTTAAACTGCTTGACGTAAAAAGCTTATTTTTGGCAAACGGATTTTTCGAAAGTAAAATTCCAACGAGATGAAACTACCCCTCAAATATTACCAAGTTATTTAATAATATCGCCATATTGTTTTTTCTCATGCTGACATAAATGTGAGAAAATTTTATACAGTTTGTATGTTAATGGAAATTCTTGCTTTGCTTTATCATCACCATTACAAATAATTAATTCGACGCGACCGAAGTCGCTGGTACACGCTAGTACCGTATATAAAAATGTAAGCTACTAAGCTACTAGCTAATAAAGAACAAAATAATTTTTCATGGCGACCCAAAAAAAATTCTGTTTCGCCACTGTAACAGCCAAAACGATAAATTCTCATAATCAACTACACTTGCTACAGAGAATCCTGTATAATAACCTTTTCCGTAAAAGTATAACGAAGCCATTGAAAAAGAACTGTTATTCTTTTGTCCCCTTTTAACAAGATATTACAGAAAATATAACGAGCTCTACTTAGGAAAAGTTTTAAGCCAGATATGTATGTCTGGTTTTTATTTTTAAAACGTCTTTTAACTGAAATAAAAATCCAGGTCAACATTTAATTTATAAAAATACAGTAGAAGTTGAAGTACTTAAGTTATTATGAGTAATTTCCAGCATACTGTATTTCCAGTACACTAGTAGTAGTGGTTATCCAGTTCCAATTTATTCAAACGTTATTAGTTATTATACCCCAAGTTATTTCTGTTAATTCACTAATTTCCTAATATAGTTTTGCCATCTTAGATTTGGACTTCTTTTAGTTCTCTTAATTCCTCGTGGATACGATGCTGTAATTTTTTTGGTCCATCTGTTGTCCGCCATTCTTGCCAGGTGTCCTGCCGGTCATGGCTGGTAATACACGTTGGTCAAATATTTTCTTGTTTAGATAAAGTGGCATTCTAGATTTGAATATGATTGAGTTTCTCCAATAAGTACTCCATGCTGTGGTGTTTATCAACGACATTGCAAATCTAGACATTAGCGGTGAAATCTGCCTCTTTGCGGACGACACTAGTTTCACTTGGAGTGGCCCAGATGTTACGGTACTATGTAGTACTATATCCAGTGACTTACGCACCATTAAATCTTGGTGCGATTCTAATCTCCTATGCCTCAACCTATCCAAAACTAAAGTTTGGTCATACAACCTTTTGTACATTATAACACCACTATTGACG